GTAGATACGGCAAAACTTTGCCATCCAAACCTCATCTACCTTGCTTCTGTAATGCTCATTACAATGGGGGTCGTAAAGGTGCGGTCGAAGCTCACCATGCCGATCCACCACCACAATGATGATCGTCCAGTGGGCGTTGGAGTGGTTTATAGGCAGCACCACGGACTTCATTGAGAAACGTTTTCGCCTTGGAGGGGTCGGGAACTTCTCTTTCTGAATAACGAGCGACGATAATACATGCACGTCGTCACGGTTCTCCGTTCTGACATCCAGGCAATAGCTGATCACTGCCTCGTTCAGCCACGCCCCATCCGCCAAGTAGCCCACTACATCATCGAAGTAAATCGATTTGTTTGTATCGCCTCTGCTGATCTTCGATTGTAAGCTAAGAGACAGGTATTTCGGCACCACATCATTCGCTAGCTGGATAAGGTGCTGTTTTGCTGTGGGCGCTGTCTTGCCATCAGAACCAGTCTCCGGAGCAAAGAATTCGACAGATCAGCCAGTCACCTTTGACCAATCTTGCAGTAGCCACGTCAGCTCCTTTCCCCAGCTCTCCCAACTCTTCTTTGTTCTATTGAAAGTCATCATTGCGGTGACACTCGTTAGATGAGACAAAAAAATACACTTAGTTAGTGTTGCTCGAGCAACGTTACATCAAATAAGCAACAACAAATGGGCAACGTTAATGTACCTCGAGAACAGATCGAGCTCTGGTGTGACCCAGACTGCCAGTGTTGTGTCGTCGGCGGAGCTTGGAGTACAAATGAGATCCACAACATTGTGATCCTCGTTTTGAGCTTTGTGTTCAGCAGCCTGTTGGCTCCGGTAATAGTCAATACCAGCCTGTAGTGAGATGACTAGGTCTTCTGGAACAACGTAGCTGTAGCAGGACGAAGAGGCTATCTGACGTTTCACCTCCCTTACGCGTCTGTGTCTCCCGCGTAGGGTTTACTCGTTCATAATCCACGGGTACTTTTTAAAGTTCCGACTACGTCTTTCAGGTGTGTGGAGTTGCGCGCCCATCTAATAACGTCACTGACGTTGATAATCAGACCCTCGGGATAGTCAATCACCCCGTAGGAGGCATAGCAGCAACGACCGACCAGTTCTGCCTCTTTTTCTTTCTAGCGATGCCTTGAGAAGGGCGAGGTAAGTTCAATTGAACACCTCGTTCTTGAACAACACACACGGAGCTAGGTTCCGACTTTGAAGTTGTTGCCTGATCATGATCAACAGAAGCGTCTGCTTCAGGTTTCTCTTCAATGATGCGCTGCGACTGTTCAGAGATATTAATGTCGCCCCTTGGGAAACTTGGGACAAAGACGCCTCTTCGTAGACAGCGTAGGTAGACGGTGCAAATGCTGACAAAGGCATGTCCGCAGCAGAGCACTCATTATCCTGCTGATCTGACATAACTTGCGTAGGTCCCACAGCTGAGTCTTGGGTTAACGTTGGATCGGAATGTCCTTCACCCCGGTGTTTTTCCCGCACTTTCGGTCGCGCGATTATGCATCCGCCATTCCTTCATCACAGCGAAACAGTGTCGAGGACGCTCTCCAGACCACGCCAAGTTCATCAGAACTAGGTCAAAACGAGCACGGCAGCCCGTGAAGTTAACATCAACATTCCTCTTGCCGTTTCCGCGCCGTTCTTGGTGAACACCGTGCTTGCAACGGTAATTCACAAAACTTCGCTTCAAACGAGGCTCGCTTAGGTGGACGCTATGCTTACCGTAGCACATACATAGTGCATAAATGGTT